TAAATATTCTTCTACCGAACCAGTCTGAGTTACATTTTTCCATTGTATCATAGGATCCAACATGCTATAATTAATCACCAAATCTCAAACTCATATAAAAAGTATACTCCTTCCAACAAAGGAACCCATTATGAATCTGACAGCAAATATGGCAGCAATTTAATTGCAAATATGATGGAAATAAAGCTGTCAAATGGCAGGAAAAATGTGCAAGAAGCTAAGCTGCAAATGTTGATAAAATGAAGCTGCAATAAACAGCAAATGAAATGCAAATCCAAATGAAATGAAGGCTGCAAAATCACAGCAAGCATGCAGCAAAAGTGGTTGTCTTTTACTTGTTTTAGATGTACTTTTATTATTGCCTTTTAATGTAGAAAAGTTGCTGAGACCAAAACAATGTTATGTATACTGTACCGATATCGGCTAGTGCGTACCAATTTTTGCATTAAACCAACATAATATATGATTTAATTTCATTTCAATCAAATTTTATTTGTTTCGATCAAATTTCATTGTACTAACCCATATTTTCGCTATCAACTGGTACAAGAAAATTAGCCAGTACACTCAACGCAAATTTAAAAAGGGTAAATTCTATTTTTGGTCCTTAACTTTAATGTTTTAAGTAATTTTTATTCTTTACTTTTTTTTATGTACTTTGTTAGTCCATCAATTATGAAAAATAAATTTTTTTAGTCCTTCTATCAATTACTGCGTTAAATTTGTTTAAATATACACATTTTTAGTCCTTTAAATTAAATGGATGAACAAAAAATATACATATATTAGAAGTTAAGGGACTAAAATAATTATTTTAAACTTATTTTCAATTTATAAGAATATGATGATCATAAACATTAATATCTTTTATTTTATTTTAAAATTTAATATTTAATTTATAAAAATATATATTTATTGCAACAAATCCGAAACGAGAAAAATTTCAATATTCGTCAGGTACCATTTTAGTAGCAAAATGGATATGCATACCAATACACTATTTACAACTTTGGACCAAAAAGCAAAAAAAAAGGAATATTTTGAATTGGTTTTAGAGCCTCTTTGGTAGAACTTCTAAGAGCTTTAGTTTTTTGACACTATTTATATTTTATAAATTTAAATTTCTTTTTTAAAAATTTATATTTTAAATTTTCTTTAACCTTTTTAAGGCTTCAAACAGTAAAAAGATAAAAAGTTTCAAATCCAAGTTTTTTACAAACCTTCTTTTTACTCACTTTTTTCTATCTCTAAAAGTTAAATTTTCCCTCCAATAAAAATTTAAACTTATTGTTCATAAACAGTACAAAAAAAGCAAAAACTTCAACCTGCTCCACCAAACAGGCCCCATTGTTTTCTGCTATATAAAGCAGAGATTATTATGAGAAGATCTTAGTTGGAGTGTTATACTCCTATCCAACTTCGTTTTTGTTCTATTCTTCATCTTTCTCTTGATTTTCTCTCTACTGCTTTGCGAGAGAAAAAGAAAATCGACAGTTTAGAAGATCAAGCTATTGCCATGTTTATTGCTGGTTTAAAGGAGGAGTTACAGCATTTTGTTGTTTGTCAACACCGTAAATCTATTGTAGAAGCCTTTTCCTATGTCAAACATCAAGAAGCTACTGCAAAATCTATCCTAAAGAAAACCAAATTCCAAAGTTCACAGGCCTATACCAGAGCTCTTCCACCTTTAGTACCTTTGCCTCCAAATGCTCAGAAGCTTATTTCCAATCCATATAACTCAACTAAAATACCACCATTCACTCGCCAAAATAGTCCCTTTATCTCATTAGCCCCTAAAAACCTACCCAAATCCAAGGGAACCAAAGCTTATTTATCATTATTATTATTTTTTATTTTAACCTTATTTTATTTATTTATTTCAATTAATCATCTTATTATCAGAAGTCTCTCTTTATCTATTTTTTAAGTGCATTATAAGTATAAATTATCATCAAATTCCAAACAATTGTGTCCTTTTAAGGACGGGATAAATTCTGTCCTAGACAAGGAAAGAATAGAAAACAAAATGGGGTATCTCGCACTCAGATTTCCTTAATGCTGACAAGGAATTGGAATTGTGGAAATGGTGTGTATTGCTAATGGTTGATTTGTGTGGTAGATTGATTGCTGAAATTTTGGGGAATGTCATTTTTTGGTCTACTCAGTGGTTGTTTGCGGGGAAATTAAAGGTTTTATATTTAGTTTGTGGATTTAAGTTGATGAGTTCAGCTTTGCGGGGAACCAAAGCTTTATCAAAAGCAGAAGTAGACAAGAAGAAACAAAAGGACTTTCTACTTCTCTTTTAACCTGTAACATTTTCTTCCTCTTAACTTTCTTTTTCTGCAATTTCTCTTCTTTCTCATCCTGATTCTATCTCTATTTCTACCTTCTCTTCTGTATCAAAATCAAAGGGGAAAACAAAAATTAGGTGGGAAAACTAACCGTGGACGGTGTGCCGATTTCCAGGCAAGGCGGCGGCGGCAGTTAGCTCCTCTGGCCGATGTTGTGGTGTGGCGTCGGTGAAGTTGGTTTTGGTGCACAAATCTACAAGAAGAACAGGGAATAGGCACTGTAAATCCAAGGAAAACCAAACAAAGACCATCAAAATCTACAAAGAAAGCTGCAAAATTACCGTCACTGGCGTGGGGACTTGGAGAGCAGGACATGCGCCGGTCAGCTACTCAGTGCAGCACGAACGGCGAAAGCTATCCTCGCCGGAGAAGAGAGGAAAAGCAGAAGAAAATAGGGAAAGCGAGAAGAAGTGGGGAAAAATGAACAAACATAACCGACAGCCAAAGTGGTGCCCCAAATCCACGACAAATCTGTCGAGTATGTTGAAGACATAACCACAATAAGCTGTCCATTTATAATCGCCAGAAAAATGATCTATTATGATTAGTCGATTAACCCATAAAACTACAAACATAATCGACAAAAAATCATAATGGGTAAGATTTTTGTTGATTTTGTCGATTATATTTTTATAATTGATAATAATTTGACTATTCGATTACAATATTATTGTTTATATTTTATTTTTTTGGTGATAATAATTTGAATTTAAATTTTTAAGATTTTATATATCTTAATCGAAAGTATTATTGGATTATTAATAAATTTTAATCTAAGACAATTTCAATAACCCTGTCCCAAATCTTGACTACACTAAGAGAAGCTGCATGTTTTTTTGTCTGCATTACATATTACTTTAGAATTTATTTAATATGTATCTTAAAAGCATATGATGTATAAATTGTATTTTTTATATTTATTTAATTTTTATAAAAAATTAAAAAATTAATTTTATTTTTATCATTAATATTATATACT